AGGACTGAGAAGCGTGCCACATGAGGAAGGGCTGAGAGAACCAACTTAGGGAAGACCTTACCACCATGTTCTGGTATTTAAATGGTGGCTACGAAAAAGATGGAGACTCCCTTTTTACAGAGTCACATGGAAAAGGCGAGAGGTAGTGGGTACAAGTGACTCCTGAGGAGATTCTGGTTGGACACTAGAGAAAAATTTTTCACAATGAAAATGACCAGCCATTGGAATAATCTCCCCAGGTAACTGGTGGATTTCCTAGTGAATCTTTAAGGGTTCAGCTGGAGAGGGTGCCAGGACATCTAGTCTAGGTCATGCTTTGCAAAGAAAAGTCAAAGCAGAACGATCCTTGAGGTCTCCTTCCAGCCTGGTATTCTGATACAATTAGTAATACTGAACAAAACAAAAACTTCCTTAAATAAGAAAGCCTAACCACAGAAAACCCCACACACAACCCACAATACACATATGTATGTATACATACACTATGAGGCACCTAGAACAGAAGGCAGTTTTAAAAAAACAAAAGGCAGAAGAAGGACATAGACCAGCTATTAAGTATTCACAAGTTATTATTCTATTCTAACTCACACCCCTTCATACTTTCCAGACGCAGGCTGGCAGCCTAAAGTATATGGCCATCTGCAGTACTAATCAAATAAAATTATTAGATCCAGCTTAGCTTTTAGTAGCCATACATGGAAGTGACTTTTCTTATAAATGACTCCTTGGTAAATTCAATCTAACATGCTCAACTAGCATTTGAGGAAAGGATCAGAAGAATGTGTCACAATGCCTCTCAGACTTCCTTTTCATATTTTAATATGTTCTATAAGAATCAGCATACAATTCCTACAGCTACAATAGTAACAGCATTAACCAAAGGCATAATTTGAGGGTCAGAGGAAGATCTTACTGTACTATGGCAATTAAAACCAAACAATGTATTACAGAAGCCCACTTTTTTATCATGTTTACTGGGTATATATTTAACACCAACAGCAAGGATTCTTTGGAGATTCCTGTCCTGCATCAGCCTAAGATCCAGTTAGCAAGTCTGATTCTACACGATCAACCTTCTCTGCAGATGTCATTCAGTGGAGGATATGACTCTGCAGTTAGAGCCATCTAACCTTTTTTTCTTCCACAAACACTGGGTCTGCCTTCCCACTAAAAAACAAAGTCTTTGTTGCTGTAACCATATAATTGGAATATTTGACAAGAAGTTCATGAAAAGGCTTGGGGGGAAAAAAAAACAAAAAAAAACCCCCACTAACGAGTATGTATGCATATTTTATTCTAACACATGACACTAAAGACAGATGATTTCATAGTTATAAATCACAATTTCCATTTTCAGACATGCATTTTGATATCTGCTTTTACTCAGAATGGATCCTCTTCCCCTAAAAAGTAGCAGTTTGTTCAATATTCAACGCAACGTCCAACTAAGAAATATGCAACTACCATTGAAGTCATGCTTTACTCAACATCAACTTTGCAAAAACACTCAGCATAATGGGTGGGTAATTATTTTATTGATTACTGTAGCTATACATCAGCATCTAGTAAAAAGGGTATCTGCTGACATTCTCTCCCCCCTGTTAGTGTAGCAGTGGTATAGCAGTTCAATGGTAATTCACAATACTCACAGTCTTTAAGAATTTCATGCAGATTCCCAAAAGAAAGAAGATCTACCAATCTAAATATTTTTTTCCATAGGACTGTAAATCACTTTAATTAAAAAGGTGACTAGACACCTACTTACATTGATGCAGGTTTTTCCTTTTACCTTAAGTAGATGAAAAAACTAAACAACAAAACCAAAACCTTGAAAGTCACTCCAAACAAGAGCAGAAACTCCAGTCTGTAAGACCCAAAATGCTACAGCAGACTCATAATAAATGTATTAATATGGCATTACTTTTACCACAAAGATGTACAGTATTTCAGTTTCTGTATAATCCATGGTTAGGGATACAAAGAAAATTGTCTAAATGTGTTTTCAGAATCAATTATTTAAAAAATGCTAAGATCTGTTCCTATTTTGGTCTCCTGCTGATTGTCGACAGACTGCACACAGATACAGCTCCTGGTAGCAGGCCAAATTTACAATATCTGGTGGAAAAAAAAAAATCAGCATGACTTTTTATCTGTATGCTGAAAAGAACAGGAGTCTAAGTTTCACTTATCCAAAAAGATGTCGAACATGATACGTTGGCATGTTGTAAAAGTCAGATTAAGCAACCAAGAACCCCTACAATGGCAAAATTAGATTAATTTCTTAGTTGCTCTGAGAAAGAACGAAGTACATTTGTTATACCACTTAGGTTATGAAATTCCATTACTGTTTCAAAAATAAAAGGCAACGTGATACCTGTCGTTTAAAAATTGGGAGTCCTGGTTTCCTACCTTCTATCCTCTAAGTAGTGATACTTAAGTTGCCCATTTCCTTATATATGCTTTCTAATTACATTCATTCCAGTATAAAATACATCTAGTGTATAAAAATGTTGCTAAGAAAGGGGAAATGTCACATTTATTTAAAGACCATTTTGATCTCCAGTCCTTTCTCATTGTAAATTCTGCTGCCTGGTTTTAAATGACTTGGAAAAGCACCCACCTCTGCTCCCTCCCACCCCATATAATCAGTGACGTCTTCCAAACACGTGACAGAGCTATAACTACACGTTAGCAAGTCTGAGTACATATCTTATTCTTTTAAGAAAGTAAATGCAATATTTTTTAGCACATACATATTCCTTTTAAATAATTCAGTGTTAAAATTTTAAATAACATAACTTGTATTCATGTTGAATTAGTTCATTTTACATGCACAGCACAGAATATTCCTATTGTATCAACACCTGCTTACAGAAGAACTAAGTCTAATTTAGGAAAATAATAACGTTATGTACTCTAGTGTGATAGCACAACAGTATCACTTTCAAATCATAACTGCGCATACTGCCAGGAGAAAAATCTTCCCCTGCAATAACCATTTTCTTAAAAACAAATAACATAATGCACTATTACTGAATACTTAATATGAATTGCTAAAGCTGCAACCAACCCCAGACGGGGGAGTGGTGGTGCAGGAAATCACATCTTACATACACAGCTAAAGTTCTTTTCCACTCAAAAGCCCAGAAAGATACCACGTCAGATAAATGTTTGGGATATTACACAATTTCTGTTAAAAAGTGGTTTACTACATCTCAGTTTCAGTTCCAGAAGAGTAAAAAATTCCCTGTGTTTAAAACACAGCACTGTCCTACTCAAGTAATTTAAGTTTCCCTGATGAGAATCCAAGGGAACATACTCCAGTTTGGAGTTCACATCAGGATGGATAAACTTGACACCTATTAAAGAGATGTTAGGCTCCATATACTGTGCAGCAGCTCCTATTTGAAATACGACTGAAATCCACACATCTCCAAGACAACACGCATAAAGCAGAAGGAAGGAAAATAACAGTTTCCCAAGACACATTACAGAGGAAGCAAAAGGACTCATACAAAGCTAAATGACTATGACAGCAGACACTGAAGATCACTTTTTATTTAAGTGGGCCTTCAATTCTCAAAAGACTTCTGTTTTCCAGATTGCATTTCATCTGGAAGCTACAGTTTTTTGGAAGCATGATACTTCCAGAATATTGCATGTATGTCAGCAGAAAGAAAAGTAGCAAGACCTGTAAAATTTAAGAATATGATTAAAGAGAGAAACAAACAAACAAAGCCACAAAAACCCAACAGTGACTTGCAATACATCTGCCAACTGCTGTATCAGAAGGTCACACTTCTGGGGAAACCCTGCATATTAACCAGTTGCTTTCTCATAATATCATAGGATATGCAGATGTTTGCAGCCAGCACTCATTCCTCTCTCTGATTTTCTTGCCTCTAACTTCAGCCAAGAGGCCCCTTTCTAAATCTTTCATTATTTGGACAACTCCGCACAGGAAATAATTGCCATTCTATTAGAGATAACAAATTGTGACTTAAAATTTATGTGCAGCATTAATCTTGAATATCTACTGCTTAGTTACCAGCAGATAGTTACTATATACAAACCTCCGCAACAAATCTAGCTTCAATTAATTCATTTTAAATGCCTCATATAAGAATACCTCCATTATATTGCTGCATGGTTACAGGTTAAAAAACCAAACAAACAAACAAACACAAAACAAACCAACACAGAGCTAATGTAAGAGCTATTACTCAGATTATGAAAAAGACTCACATAACAGTTTCAAGCAGTAAAACCACTTCGTCTCTCTTAAACACTATTCTCATTTTTACCATGATCTTAAACAAGAACTTGGGTAAAAGATAGGAAGAAACAGAGGTAAGAGAGACTCCCATCTCGCACCAACTCACTCTATTCTCTCCAGAAGTCTGGAACTCCTATAACTTCCTCAGTAGAGCTAGGAGAGGTCACATCAGGTACAGCAATTTGATCACTTGAAAATAGTTACTTCGATACTTATCACTGGAACACTGATCAATGCAGTCGATGCAAACAGTACATAGCCAAGATGTGGATGGCTATTACTGAGGAAAAACGAGTAGCCAACAAAAAAATGATCCAAAAAGATTTAGCAGAAACCCTCAAGACTTCAGGTATAGGGACTAAGAGAGCATCAAGCTCCACACAGCAGAACACCAGGGCAGAACAGGACATTTGTATGAGCACTGCTACTGATGGGTGGCTGGCTGTCAGCTCTATATAAAAACTTGTTAAGCCTCCGAAGCAAAAATGGAAAAGTGTTCAATTTTGACTAAAAAAAAAAAAAAAATTAAATATCGTAGTTATTAAGACTTACTAGAAAGGCTGAAACTTTCAAAGGAAGATGACACTTTCTAAGAAAGCCTTTTAAAACTGCCAACAGCAGTGCACAAAATAAGAGCACCACAGCCCCTTTCCCTCGGTCCTCACACCACAACCCTGAAACATCACCTCGTTTTTATGCCACTCCCTATTAAGTAACGCTTTACTGAAAACCCTACAACCGTTAAGATACCGATTTTGTCTGCCTCTGATCTCAACTTTTTAAGAGGTCCTGCCCGAGCCGCGAGATCCGTGTGCCGTAGAGACCGCGCCACGTCCAAGACGTGTGCGTTCACTGGCACCTGAGGGGGGAAAAAAACAAACCCTGAGGTAAAGTTTATTGCTGCGAGGGAACCCCCGGCCACGGCAGGTTCAGCGCCGCGGGGCTGTCACCACACGGCGGCCGCGCTGCCTCAGCTGCTGTTGGAACACGGGGCCGGAGCGGGCGGGCGG